ACAAAATCTGACTGACAGAAAAAGAAAAGCTTGTAAGAACCAACCAGAGCATCCTCATGAGACTTGTGTCATAAAAGTCTGATTGTGCCTGGCAAACATGATAAGCATTTAAACTTTCCTTCATCTATCACTTAACTAGACTGTAGGTTCATTACTCAAAATCCAAGCATATATTTTTAACTAGAATAGATTGAGAAATACAGCTTGACATCACCATCTTCAGTAAAAGCCAGTAGCCCTGTCCTGTTTACTTAGCGTGAAGTCATCTTATTTGTGGTTGATTAACAGATAGAACCCTGTGTGGTTTCTAGGACAAAGATTATGAATCTCTAGGGGTTGCAAGTTATAAATTGGATTTTTGGGGAGGTCTCCAAAAATCAAATACTCCATGCTGTTGCACCTCTTAATTAAGTACACTTGAATTGACCCACAGTCTCCAGTTTTGGTTAGGAAAACATGGCTACTGTATCTCAGATGAGGCATTGGTAGAATTCTCACGTTCCATGCAGGAGACTAGGATTTGATTCCCAGCCAGTGTACCTCATGTGCAGCCACTACCTGTGTGTCACTGGAGGCTTGCATTTGCTATGATGCTGAACAGGTTTCAGCAGAACTTCCAGACTAAGATGGGCTAGGAAGAAGGGCCTGGCAATCTACTTCCAAAAATCAGCCAGTGAAAACCCTATGAATCACAACATTCTGATCCTAACCAATAATCGGGATGGTGCGGGACTGGGCAGTGTTTTGTCCCGTTGTGCGTGGAGTCGCCATGAGTGGGGGGCCAACTCGACAGCAGCTAACAACATCTCAGATAAAAATTTTTAACAAATCAGTGAAGCTGGTCTGCATGCAGGTGCCCCAGCATCTACTTACACGGGCCACTGAGCAACCCATTGTGTGAAATTGGCCTTGGAAAGGATCCACTTTCAGAAAACCAAAATAATCAAGCCTGTATTTGTTTTCAGATTAATTACAGAGACTTTCCTGCTCTCCACCACCTTCTCCTTTTTAGCCTAAGATGTCTTCTTCATTTTCTCAGAATTGAAGTGGATTATTTAATGTGCAGAATATGGGATTTCTGAAAGAGCAGCGAATACTCTATAAAGCATAGATAAGATGACTTCATCACACTAAGTAAACAGGACCGGGCTGTTTGCTTTTATTGAAGACGGTGATGTTAAGTTGGATTTCTGAATCTTTTCTAGTTAAAAATATGTGCTTGAATTTTTAGTAATGAACCTACAGTCTAGTGAAGTGATAGAAGAAGGGAACTTTTTAAATGCTTACATGTTTGCCAGGCACAATTAGATTTAACACACATTTAACATACTTTTTAATAATCTCATGAGGTGATTATAGCCTCCTTGTATAGATGAGAAAACTGGAGCTCAAAGAGATTAAGTAGATGGCCTAAAGACACACAGCTATAGTAAGGTAAAGACAAGTTTGAACCCAGGTCCTTTTATTCTTGTCAGTTCTCTTTCTACCATATTGTCTTTATATGTAATTGTTCTCAAAGTTTAGTGCTGACATGTTCTGATACTTTCATCCACTTAAGTAGATAACCAGTTAACCAGTTGCCCTGGAGTCAGTTCCAAGTCATGGTGCTCCAGTATGTGTCAGAGTATAACTATGGCTGATTTTTCAGAAGTAGGTTGTCAGGCCTTTCTTCCGAGGCACCTCTGGGTGGACTTGAACCTCCAACCTTTCGGTTAGCAGCTGAGCACATTAACCGTCTGCACCACCAGGGACACCTAAGTAGATACCAAAAAAAAAAAAAACCCAAATCCTATAGGATTTCCAAGGAGCAGCTAGTGGATTTGAACTGCCGACCTTTTGGTTAGCAGCTGAGCTTTTAACCACTATGTCACTAGGGGTCCCTAAGTTAATAGATCTCTTTATATATTTGCAAATGAAAATTGAGAGCAGTTATAAAACTTTATCAAATACTGTACACTAATGGCTCTACTCTGCCCTGCTTAATTAGTGTTTCAAGGTGTCACCTTTTAAATTTTCTCTTGGGCTGTTTTCCGATCAGAGCATTTAAATAGATAATTTAAGTCTGGCAAATGAATTCTTAATAGTAAGAGACGAAGTGCAGATACTATAGTCTACTTGTTAGAGCAACAGTTGCATCAAAAAGTTTCTGACCATTCCCTAGCTTTGTAGCACACTGCCTAGCTCATAATAGGTAATCAGATATATTTAACTGACTGATTTTTGATCCCAACTTTTTTCTATGCAAATTAATTCTAACCTCAGCTATGAGTGGGCAGGACTTGCTACACTGGCGCTGTGATACAAGATATGGTCAGAAATGAAGCCCTTTTGAGTTGGTGGTATTGCTGTTGCTGGTGTTATCCTGAATTAGGAGGAGTTACGGAGTAATCCAGCGACTCACAGTTTCAGGTGTTAAACTACCTTCCTGCTGAAACTGTGGGTTATTTCTTGGGAGGCTGAAGATAGTGGGTTCTGTCAGCTGTACTCTTGCAGGCATATTTATGATTCTAAGTGGCAGCCATGCATTGGGAGGGCATGCTGTGGCTCCAAAAAGTCCAGGGAGGACAGAAGTAAGATTAAAGACACTCTGGTTTGTTTCTTTAGTTACTATGTAGGAAAATAAAATTGCATCTAAACCATGATGATTTGTAATTAATTATATTGAAAGTTTGTTGTGGTTTTTTTTTTTTCATTTTTAGAAATGTAATCAAGCCTTGATTCTAGTCCCTAAGCAAAGTCTTTTCACCAGTATGATCAATGCTGATCCTCTCAGAGTCATAGTTAAGTAGTTAGATTTCCGTATCTAGTCACTTCTTTAGCCAACAGATTGTGTGTAAGTTGATATTCAAGTTAATATCAAAGAACCTGAGAGAAAACTGGAGCGTGCATAAGCTTGTCATCTTGGATCTAGTGATGTTTATTTTCTTTTTATAATATAATAGATTTAGAGTTATTATACGGAAGTACATGATCAGAATCATATTATATACTGTAGTTAGAATACCAACTGCTGGATTTGTTTTAGAGAATAGCATACACCTTAGACTTTACTTATGTATTTAATAATTCTTAATTCCTTTTGTGCCTGAGCTAGGCACAAGATTTTGGGGAAAACGGCACAGACTTTGCAGTTAAACAGACTTGGATTTGAATTCCAGTTCTGCCTCTTACTAGTACTTTGAAGTTGAGGAAACAGGGTTAAGTAATCTGCTCATGTGTAAAATGAATAAAAAATAATATATATTGGGCCGTTGTGAGGACTGAAGGATAGCATATGTATAGTGCCTAACACACAGTAGATTCTCAGATGTTTCCTTCCCACATACCACTATTCCTCTGCCCATTCGCCTCAGAGGGAAAAAAGCAGAATGGATAGGTGAGAGAAACAAGGCACTTGGGGCTCTCAGATTCCACACTGGATATGAATTCCCAACAATGGAAACCTACACAACCTAAAAGACTTTGGGTACTGAAAACGTGAGTTTCTAGGAGTTCCTGTTGCAACCCTTGGCAACCTGGTTATCTGGAACTCCGGCTCCTCCTCCCCGCTTTTGCTGCCATTCCTCTGGCCATTTCATTGCTTGTTAGCAAGCACCAAAAGATGAACAGGACTGAAGGAGAAAGTGACACAAAACAGTTACTGTGCTAGTCGCTAACTATTCTGGATAGTTCGGGGATTTTTAAATTACATTTTTATTAGCTTTCTTTTTATTAATATTGCCATCAATTTCAATATTAAATTATCTTTTTATTTTATTTAAATATGTAGTATTTCTCATTTGTTCCTCTAGAAAGAAAATTACTCTTTTCTGTTACTGCTCAATAGAGAATAACTTCTAAAGCCTTTTTGTTCTGGCCCTACGCTTATTCACTACCACAGTCCACATCCAGAGGCACCTTCTTGAAGGTTTTTTTTTTTCTTCTTGAATTAAGAGAACCCTGACCTCTCCCCAGCTTTGCCTGATAAGTGTGGTAGCTTAAACCTTCGAATCTGAATAGCTTGTCTTTTTCTCCAGCTCTTTTGAATAATTGGTCATCCATACAGTAAAAGGATAGTTAATGTGTGTGCTTTGAAGTCCCTTGCCTTACAAAAACCTTACTGGCTATAACTGACAAATTTGAGCTGTAAAAGACCTAAAACTTGGTTGTTGACTTGCTTGATTACTTACCTGTTACTATCCTTGTCCATGAGTCTTTAAGGTATCTTGCCAAGTTTATTACAGTTACGATTATTTTTTAACTCTCAAGACTATGCTTCATCCATCCTTGCTAATTTCAGCAGCGCCCGCCCATTCTTACCTCCAGCTGTCCTCAGTTATCAATTTAGGTGTCCTTGTTAGACTAGAGAGAATAATCCCATCAGCCTTGACATGATTTAGATAAAAAGACACTCTGATAAAAATTGGATTTTTTATCTAGCCAGTAAGAGATACCTATTCTTGTCAACATTTTAGGATGACCATAATCTGAGAGCATGGACCAGAATTACAGCGATGTCTAAATACCAAAATGATTTTCATATTATTAAATTGAAATAAACACGCACTTTGTTTTACATAGATGTGCTTCTAAACAAAAGTATGTGTAAAGAATGTTTGTGAATTAATTCATGTTTTAAATCCACTAGGGAAGCTTTGTTATTTAAAGAAATACTGTAGTGTATCCTCTAGTAATAAGAAGAATATCCTCAGTTTATATCTTGTGCAAATCTTTTTTCATTTATCTCTTTAGCTTAAAACAAAGTATACTTGTATGAGGAATAGTATCCAAGAGAGAGACAAGATTTGTACAGGCTAGGAGGAATTATAGGTCAGCTGTTGAGTTGCTATGAGTCAGAAGTGGCTCGACGGCAGTGGGTTTGGTGGTTTTTGGTTTTTTGTTTTTTTGTATCTGTGCTGAGATCTGAGTAGGTAAATTTCCAATACATTTTGGTCCATTGATTCAGGAGAGGTGGTCCTCTTGGGATCCTTCTAACATCCACCTCTTAACTTTCATGCTAGATCGAGCGGTTGGAAGTAAGCAGCCTTGCCCAGACTTCCAGTGCAGTGGCTCCTAGCACCGATGGCAGCATCCACACAGACTCCGTGGATGGAACGCCAGACCCTCAGCGCACAAAGGCTGCTATTGCCCACCTGCAGCAGAAGATCCTAAAGCTCACAGAACAGATCAAAATTGCTCAAACAGCCCGGGATGACAACGTTGCCGAGTACTTGAAGCTTGCCAACAGTGCAGACAAGCAGCAGGCCGCCCGCATCAAGCAGGTTTTTGAGAAGAAGAACCAGAAATCTGCCCAAACCATCCTCCAGCTACAAAAGAAGCTTGAGCACTACCACCGGAAGCTCCGGGAGGTGGAACAGAATGGGATCCCGCGGCAGCCAAAGGATGTCTTCAGGGACATGCACCAGGGTCTGAAGGATGTGGGGGCCAAGGTGACTGGCTTCAGTGAAGGTGTGGTGGACAGTGTCAAAGGTGGACTTTCCAGCTTCTCCCAGGCCACCCATTCAGCAGCAGGAGCTGTGGTCTCAAAACCCAGAGAGATTGCCTCATTGATTCGGAACAAATTTGGTAGTGCAGACAACATCTCTAATCTGAAGGACTCTTTAGAGGAAGGGCAAGTGGAGGATGGGGGGAAGACTTTGGGAGTGATTTCAAACTTTCAGTCAAGCCCAAAATATGGTAGTGAGGAAGATTGTTCTAGTGCCACATCAGGCTCAGTGGGAGCCAACAGCACCACTGGGGGCATCGCTGTAGGAGCCTCCAGCTCCAAAACAAACACCCTAGACATGCAGAGCTCAGGATTTGATGCACTACTACATGAGATCCAGGAGATCCGGGAAACCCAGGCCAGACTAGAGGAATCCTTTGAGACGCTCAAGGAACATTATCAGAGGGACTATTCCTTAATAATGCAGGCCTTACAGGAGGAGCGATATAGGTAAGTAATATGGAATTAAAATCCTAAATTATTTATGTTTGGGGTTCTCCTCCCTTTGGATATGGCAGAGTGGTTTTAAAAGGGCTTTGTAGAGTGTCTTTCTCTGGATTGCCTAGAGCACCTTAGATATGTCATATGACATCTGCATGAGCTCTCATTTTGTAGAGAGCAAAACAGAGGCACACCAAATTTAAATAACTTCCAAGATGATCACACAGTGATCAAGCATTTTAGTAAGGGAATGAAGCATAGTTCCCTAGTCTTCATTCCAGTTTAGGACTTTAAAAGGAAGCCCAAGCTCTCTGGGGCATTCTACCTATTTATTTATAAACACAGAACCATAAACCATTGCAGCCTATAGCTGTACTACATTGAATTCAAAAGATCTATAGTCCTCTGAACTCTGTAGAAATCAAAGCCCAGCCAAAATATAATGAAGCTTATAGATATGTGGCCCTAAGCACACGTATCTGGGGACTTGGTGTAGAAAGATTAGATTGGAAATAAATTCAGATAAGCATGTCTGTTACCTTTATAATAAATTGGCAGATGTTTGAATGGTAGTTAGAAAATTCTCAAAGGACTAAATTCTCTGAGTTATAATTGTGCTAAAAGTAGAAACTGGTCTCTTTTTTGTTTCATATTACACTCCGTATTCATATTAGACCACTCTTAGCTGTTCTCCACATATCTGTCCTCTCCCCTTGTTTTCTTTACATGCAGAGAGAAATAATATCCCCAATGGAATATGCATTTAAATCCAAACTTTGTCAGCCAGAAACAGGCCACCTCGCTGATGCAGATTAAGGACTAGTCATATGGGAGCCACAGATTGGGGTAGGCCTTGAGAGACCTGGGTTCTGCTCCTGTCCCAACTATAGAAGAATTCAGTTCTTCTATAATATCAGGGGTTAAGCAATCCCTTTCACCTCTTAAAAAAAAGAAAAGTCTTTTTCACCTCTTTAAAAAAAAAAAAAAGTTATTTTTTAAAGTATACTTTTAATGAGATGATCTCAGGGCCTTTTTAAGAAATAAATTGTTCAGTTAGTTATGATAGGAGTTTACAGCAGCAAGCTACCTCTTTTTTCAGATGATGAAAATGCTAACCAGTAATTCAGTCCTGCCTCGTTTCCCCTTCACACTTCTGTCCTTCAGTTCTAACCAAAAACCTCAAGTGGAAAGATAAGAGGAATGAGTGTGGGAGAGAGAAATAAAGTTCTAAAAGCAAATACGTTACTCTTTTTATTTCAGTGTTTCATATTTTCTTTAGTATACTGAGAAGATAAGGTCTAAAGCAATGAGTGATCCAACAAATCCAAATAGAGTCTAAAAATAAAACACCTGGTCCTGTGTACCATACTAATCCTAACTCCCAGACTCAAATTCCAGTTACTAACCTTGAAAACCAGGCACCTTTCTTAACTTCTCTAATTCTTGTTTTCCTCATCTCCAACATAGGAATAATAATATTATTATTATATGTTAATATATTAATAATAACCTTCATAAGGTTATCATGACTATTAAATAATTTATGTAAACCACATAGCTCAGTGCCTGACCCCATAGTGCTTCATTGATTTTAGGCAGTGGCTGCTTTTAATGCCCCTTTGAACATGGAGACCTAGTTGCTAAAACTATTCATTTTTGAATGGTTAGCAAAACATTCAAGTTTTTAAATTGCTCTAGAGCTTAAAATTCATGTAGCACTTGTTATGTCTTCAAGTTACATGTAGGCCAATGTGAGAAAATCAGAGAGGAAAAACAGATCTCCCAAGGCCCATGTTTGTATCCATTTAAAATAAGTCAGAGACAGGGCAGAACTTTAGCTCCTCATTATCACTTTATTAAAAGAGTCAACTCCAAGGCATTTATGGGGCAATGAGAAGTGCATTTCTGTAATTGCACTTTGGGTTCTCTGCAGTAGGAAAATGACTAGTTTTATGAAATGAAGACAGAATATAAAAAACTTTTGAATTTTCAGAAAGAGAGGTAAAAGCCGGGGGACGAGAGAACCCAACATGTGTAATCTGACTTGTTTTCTCATCCTGCTTCAGCTTTAGAATGGTCTTTCCTTAAAAAAAAAAAAAAAATCTTGAAAAAGGAAAGCCTTTTTTCCAAGAAAGGCAGTGGAAAACTCAAAACTGTTTTACTCAGCTATTTTGTTGCATCAATAATTCGCTGTATAGAACGGTTACATTTCAAAGATTTCCCCTCTGTTACATGTGTTGTTACATAGTAAATATGATATTTATCTAGCTTGGTTTTTTTTATAACTGTTTCACGTAAGTGAAATATTTTCCACAAATTTAGGACTATTTTTTGAAGCACGAAAACTTTTCACATGCTAGTAAACATTTATGGAGAATTTCTCTGCCATCTTTTAACACAGCACACTGAACCTAACTTGATTGGAAATACCTTGGGTCCACATTAGGAACTGTGTTGTTCTGGCTTAGAGTGATGCTCTCAGGTTGTTGTAAGTTGCCTTTGAGTCATTTCCAACTCATGGTGAACCCAGTGTGTGCAGAGTAGAACGGAGCTCCATAGGGTTTTCAAGGTTGTGACCTTTCAAAAGCAGATCGCCAGGCCTGTCTTCCAAGGCATCTGTGGGCGTGTTCAGTCCACCAGCCTTTCAGCTAGTAGTCAAGCGCTTAACCCACTCTCAGGTTAGTAAGGGTGTGAGATATGTGCCACTATAGTAAATGGTCCCAGACAGCTTGCTTTTTTTTTTTTTTTAGTTCTTTGCTTTTTATAGGTTTTTTTTTTCTTCCTTCTATTCCATGTCTCCTGCACACTGTTGATGGTGAGCTGCCTACAGTAGCCTCTCTTTACTGATTTCTTTTTCTACTCTGTTGGAGGCTTGGCTTTTTGTCTAGGAAGGGAGCAGGCTAGGAATGGACTTTAAGGGACTCTCCCGTGACCAAAGATCCACTATGTGTATATAGCTGCTCTAGATAAGTTTTTGCTTATTTTCTGTGCTTTAGATTATTTTACCATTATCTGAATTGACAAGAGGGAGGCCATACACAATGTTGTTGCCTCTTATTTAATGATGATGACGAAGACAATACTGCTAACAGCATTTACTAAACTCCTATGATGTGTATAATGCTAAATGCTTTCCATATATTGTCTCTAATCTTCACAGTAACTCTGCAGATGGATTGTATTATACGCATTTTACAGATAAGGAAATTGAAGCCCAGTGGGGTTTAAAAATTTGCCAAAGCTCACTCAGTAAGTGGTAAAGCTGGGATTCAAACCCAGTTTTATCTGATTCCAAACTAGTGTTCTTTTCATACCAGGACAGCTTTTTTCAGGCCCAACCCTGAACTCTATATGGTTGAAAGATTAGTCTAGCTGTAAGAAGTATTGATTGTATTAACAGTGGATATTGGGCCTTTCCCAGGTTGAAGTGTATGTTTCACTAAAAGTTGAGTGACTGTTTTTAACATATTGTATAAAATGCGGTGAATGTATAAGCTCTGGAAAGTTTTTTCAAGCTTGTATAACAGGATAGGTAATAGTTGAAACCTTTGTAAGGAACCCTTCCCCCAATTATTATTTCCCCTTTTCAAAATCCCTTCTTAATAATGTCACTAACGTTATGTGCTTCTCATTGCTCTCTACCCCTGTGAGCAGCACCAGGTCAAGATATTTGCCCAAGACCATCTACTTGCTCTGGAATGATCAGAAGCATTCTGAAGCCTGTGGCATACACTCATCTCTCTTCACGCACAAAATTGTGTCATTACTGAGTGGTGTTTCTTCAGCACCCACATGCAGTGTCAGTGCTCTTGATTTTTTGCTGGCCCAGGAAGCCATTGTAGTAGAACTTGGATCTGAACTCCATCTCAACCTTTGATTAATAACTAGGTGTTTAGTCTTTGAACGTTCAGATGTGAGTGAGAGCATGCTAGTGGCAACTGGGTTCACTTAGTACTTCAGAGGTAGAAGGGACCCTTAGATATCTGTGTAGTTTAATCTCATTTTACAGACACGTACACTGAGGCCCAGAAAGACAAAGTGACTTGCCAGGTCACACAGTAAAAAGGTTTAATGTAGATTTAATTTGCTACTAAAAACTGAGGACCACTCCTTTTTCCATAGCTGGTATAATATATTAATGAGCCCTAGTGGCACAGTGGTTAAGAGCTCAAGCTGCTAACCAAAAGGTCAGCAGTTCGAATCCACCAGCCACTCCTTGGAAGCCTTATGGAACAGTTCTGCTCTATCCTGTAGGTTCGCTATGAGTTGGAATCAACTAGATGGCAATGGGTGTTTTTGGTATAGCAGGAAAATGTTTAGCTGTGGCAAACTGCATTGAAAATAGGAGAGAACTAGGAAAACATTAATCGACAGTTTTACAAGTTCTTTTTGTCATTTTTCCCTTAGAGCATCTGCTGGGAATCCTACTCAACTACTGCCTGTATAAAGCAGTATTGTGTAGGGCAAGCTAAAAACCCTTCTGGTGTTAGTGAGCACTAATGCCATTTTGAAAGCTTCTATTTTAAGAGGCTTACCGTCCTTTGGAAATCGGCTTCTGAGAATGTTTGTATTAGGCCCAGGGGTATTTTAAATTGCACTGAGTCATAACAGCAAAAATACAGAAGGAGGTGGCCACCATAAGTAATCATCTATATACAATAGAGCGATCAGTAACTAGGCTAGCCCCATCAGGCACAGGCCATTGGAGGTCTAATTAAACAAATGGTTGTTTAAATATAACTTCCCTTTATTTTACTATCACTGAACATTAGACAGGGATATAGTAAGATGTAGCTATTTTATCCCTTTACTGCAGGTATTAGACCTGTTTGTCAACTGAAAATTGAGCTGAGAGTCTCGAGAGGATATGTAGGCTAGGTTTTGGACAATAAATTTGAAATAGAGACTGAGAATATTGGATCAAGTTAGCTCTTCATTTATAAGAGGAAAAATCCCAGTTAGGAAGTGCCCTTTTGAAGGATAAGACCTTCTATAAAAGATATTTGCAG